CCTCGCTGATCCGGGGGAACCGCGCCAACTGCGCGCTCTTCTCCACCAACCTGGACTGGCTGGTCAGCAAGCTGGACCGGCTGGAGGCCTCCTCCGGTCAGTGGGGCGGCCCTGGGGGTCCTGTGGGGCTGGGGGGTCCTGTGGGGCTGGGGGTCCTGTTGTGGGGCTGGGGGTCCCGTGGGGCTGGGGGTCCTGTGGGGGGATCCTGTAGGGCTGGGGGGTCCCGTGGGGCTGGGGTCTCTCCTGAGGGTCTGGGGTTCCCACTATGGGGCTGGGGTCCCTCCTGCCATGGGTCTGGGGTCCCTCCTGCTGTGGGTCTGGCCCCTCTATGGGTCTGGGGTCCCTCCTGCCATGGGGCTGGGGTCTCTCCTGAGGGTCTGGGGTCTCTCCCATGGGTCTGGGGTCCCCGCTATGGGTCTGGGGTCCCTCCTGCCATGGGTCTGGGGTCTCTCCCATGGGTCTGGGGTCCCTGCCATGGGTCTGGGGTCCCTCCCACTGTGGGTCTGGCCCCTCTATGGGTCTGGGGTCCCTCCTGCCATGGGGCTGGGGTCCCTCCTGCCATGGGGCTGGGGTCTCTCCTGAGGGTCTGGGGTCTCTCCCATGGGTCTGGGGTCCCCGCTATGGGTCTGGGGTCTCTCCTGAGGGTCTGGGGTCTCTCCCATGGGTCTGGGGTCCCCGCTATGGGTCTGGGGTCCCTCCTGCCATGGGGCTGGGGTCTCTCCTGAGGGTCTGGGGTCCCCGCTATGGGTCTGGGGTCCCTCCTGCCATGGGGCTGGGGTCTCTCCCATGGGTCTGGGGTCTCTCCCATGGGTCTGGGGTCTCTCTCTCCCACTGTGGGTCTGACCCCGCCCCACATCCCACACCCCACATCCCACGCGTGCCCCACGCGTGCCCCACACCCCACGCGTGCCCCACGCGTGCCCCACACGTGCCCCACACCCCATGCGTGCCCCACGTGTGCCCCACACCCCACACGTGCCCCACGCATGCCCCATGCGTGCCCCACGCGTGCCCCACACCCCACACGTGCCCCACACGTGCCCCACACGTGCCCTACGCGTGCCCCACGTGTGCCCCACGCGTGCCCCACGCGTGCCCCACGCGTGCCCCACACCCCACACGTGCCCCACACGTGCCCCACACGTGCCCCACGCGTGCCCCACATGTGCCCCACGCGTGCCCCACGCGTGCCCCACGCGTGCCGCAGGCATCCTGGAGGTGCTGTACTGCGTGCTGATCGAGAGCCCCGAGGTGCTGAACATCATCCAGGAGAACCACATCAAGTCCATCATCTCCCTGCTCGACAAGCACGGCCGCAACCACAAGGTGGGGGGCCCAGGTGTGCCCAGGTGTGCCCAGGTGTGCCCAGGTGTGCCCAGGTGTGCCCAGGTGTCCCTAGGTGTGTGTCCAGGTGTGCCCAGGTGTGCCCAGGTGTGCCCAGGTGTCCCTAGGTGTGTGTCCAGGTGTGCCCAGGTGTGCCCAGGTGTGTCCAGGTGTGTCCAGGTGTCCCTAGGTGTGTGCCCAGGTGTGCCCAGGTGTGCCCAGGTGTCCCTAGATGTCCCTAGGTGTGTGTCCAGGTGTGTCCATGTTTGCCCAGGTGTCCCTAGATGGGTGCCCAGTTGTGCTCAGGTGTCCCCAGGTGTCCCCAGGTGTGCCCAGGTGTGCCCAGGTGTCCCTAGGTGTGTGTCCAGGTGTCCCCAGGTGTCCCCAGCTGTCCCCAGTTGTGCCCAGGTGTGCTCAGGCATGTCCCCAGGTGTCCCCAGCTGTCCCCAGTTGTGCCCAGGTGTGCTCAGGCATGTCCCCAGGTGTCCCTAGATGTGTCCCCAGCTGTGCCCAGGGTGTCCTCAGGTGTCCCCAGGTGTCCCCAGCTGTCCCCAGTTGTGCCCAGGTGTCCCCAGCTGTACTCAGCTGTGCCCAGGTGTGCTCAGGTGTGTCCCCAGGTGTCCCCAGGTGTCCCCAGCTGTGCCCAGGTGTGCTCAGGCATGTCCCCAGGTGTCCCCAGCTGTCCCCAGCTGTCCCCAGCTGTGCCCAGCTGTGCCCAGCTGTCCCCAGGTGTCCCCAGGTGTGCCCAGCTGTGCCCAGGTGTGCTCAGGCATGTCCCCAGGTGTGCTCAGGCATGTCCCCAGGTGTCCCCAGCTGTGCCCAGGTGTGCTCAGGCGTGTCCCCAGGTGTCCCCAGGTGTCCCCAGCTGTGCCCAGGTGTGCTCAGGCACGTCCCCAGCTGTGCCCAGGTGTCCCCAGCTGTCCCCAGGTGTGCCCAGGTGTGCCCAGGTGTGCTCAGGCATGTCCCCAGGTGTCCCCAGCTGTACCCAGGTGTCCCCAGGTGTGTCACCAGCTGTGTCCAGCTGTGCCCGGGTGTGCTCAGGTGTGCTTAGGTGTGCTCAGGCATGTCCCCAGGTGTCCCTAGATGTGTCCCTAGATGTGTCCCCAGCTGTCCCCAGCTGTGCCCAGGCATGTCCCCAGGTGTCCCCAGCTGTGCCCAGGCATGTCCCCAGGTGTCCCCAGCTGTGCCCAGGCATGTCCCCAGGTGTCCCCAGCTGTCCCCAGGTGTCCCCAGCTGTGCCCAGCTGTGCCCAGGGTGTCCCCAGGTGTCCCCAGCTGTGCTCAGGTGTGTCCCCAGCTGTCCCCAGGTGTCCCCAGGTGTCCCCAGCTGTGCCCAGCTGTGCCCAGGTGTCCCCAGGTGTCCCCAGCTGTGCCCAGCTGTGCCCAGGTGTGTCCCCAGGTGTCCCCAGGTGTGCTCAGGTGTGTCCCCAGCTGTCCCCAGGTGTCCCCAGGTGTCCCCAGGTGTCCCCAGGTGTGCTGAGGCCCGTCCCGCAGGTGCTGGACGTGCTGTGCTCGCTGTGCGTCTGCAACGCGGTGGCCGTGCGCTCCAACCAGAACCTGATCACCGAGAACCTGCTGCCACGCCGCAACCTGCTGCTGCAGACCGGCATGGTCAACTACGTCACCAGGTGGGACACCCGCCCTCACCTGGGCACACCTGGGGGCTCCTGAGGGGCTGAGGGCTCCAGGGGAGCGGAGTTTTGGGGGTTTGGGGGGTTTGGAGATGTTTTCAGGTGGTCTGGAGGTTGGTTGAGGTGCACCTGGAAGCTCTTGAGATGTTTCTAGAAGAACCTGAGAACACCTGGGGGTTCCTGGGGGGCTCTGAGGGGCTGAGGGCTCCAGGGGAGCAGAGTTTTGGGGGTTTGGGGGGTTTTGGGCAGTTTTCAGGTGGTCTGGAAGTTGTTGAGGTGCACCTGGAAGCTCTTGAGATGTTTCTAGAAGAACCTGAGAACACCTGGGGGGCTCTGAGGGGCTGAGAGCTCCNTGGTCTGGAAGTTGTTGAGGTGCACCTGGAAGCTCTTGAGATGTTTCTAGAAGAACCTGAGAACACCTGGGGGGCTCTGAGGGGCTGAGAGCTCCAGGGGAGCAGAGTTTTGGGGGTTTGGGGGGGTTTTGAGCAGTTTTCAGGTGGTCGGGAGGTTGTTGAGGTGCACCTGGAAGCTCTTGAGATGTTTCTAGAAGAACCTGAGAACACCTGGGGGTTCCTGGGGGGCTCTGAGGGGCTGAGGGCTCCTGGGGAGCGGAGTTTTGGGGGGTTTGGAGCCGTTTTCAGGTGGTCTGGAAGTTGTTGAGTTGCACCTGGAAGCTCCTGAGATGTTTCTAGAAGAACCTGGGGACACCTGTGGGAGTTTTGGAGGGTCCTGGGCGGCTTTAAGGGGCTGAGGGGGTCCTGGGGATGGGGTTTTGGGGGTTTTGGGGCTGGTTGAGGTGTACCTCGGAACTCTTGAGATGCTCTGAGCACCTTGAGAGGTGGAACTTGGGGTTCCCAAGGTGGGATTCACAGTTCCCAGGGTGGGATTTGGGGTTTCCAAAGTGGGATTCAGGTCTCTGGAGATGGGATTTGGGGTTCCCAAGGTGGGATTTGGGTGTCTCTGGGTGGGATTCGGGGTTCCCAAGGTGGGATTCGGGGTTCCCGGGGTGGGATTTGGGGTTCCCAAGGTGGGATCTGGGGTTCCCAAGATGGGATTTGGGGTTCCTGGGGTGGGATTTGGGGTTCCCAAGGTGGGATTTAGGTGTCTCTGGGTGGGATTTGGGGTTCCTGGGGTGGGATTTGGGGTTCCTGGGGTGGGATTTGGGTGTCTCTGGGTGGGATTTGGGGTTCCCAAGGTGGGATCTGGGGTTCCCAAGATGGGATTTGGGTGTCTCTGGGTGGGATTTGGGTTTTCAGGGTGGGATCCTGGATTCCCAAGGTGGGATTTGGGTGTCTCTGGGTGGGATTTGGGGTTCCCAAGGTGGGATTTGGGGTTCCTGGGGTGGGATTTAGGTGTCTCTGGGTGGGATTTGGGGTTCCCAGGGTGGGATCCTGGATTCCCAAGGTGGGATTTGGGTGTCTCTGGTTGGGATTTGGGGTTCCCAAGGTGGGATTTGGGGTTCCCGGGGTGAGATCCTGGATTCCCAAGGTGGGATTTGGGTGTCTCTGGGTGGGATTTGGGGTACCTGGGGTGGGATTTGGGGTTCCAAGGTGGGATTTAGGTGTCTCTGGGTGGGATTTGGGGTTCCCAGCGAGGTGTCCCCGTTCCCGGCAGCGTGCGCCCCAACCTGTTTGTGGGGTCGGCGCCGGGCACGACGCAGTTCCTCATGGTGGCATTTGGGTTCTAGGGATTGAATTTGGGGTTCTCAAGGTGGGATTTGGGGTTCCCAAGGTGGGATTTAGGGTTCCCAAGGTGGGATCTGGGGTTCCTGGGGTGGGATTTAGGTGTCTCTGGGTGGGATTTGGGTTCTCAGGGTGGGATCCGGGATTCCCAAGGTGGGATTTGGGGTTCCCGGGGTGGGATCCTGGATTCCCAAAGTGGGATTTGGGGTTCCCAAGGTGGGATTTGGGGTTCCCAGCGAGGTGTCCCCATTCCCGGCAGCGTGCGCCCCAACCTGTTTGTGGGGACGGCGCCGGGCTCGACGCAGTTCCGCTGCTGGTACTTCGAGGTGGCCGTGGAGCGGGCGCGGCCCTTCGTCACCGCCGTGCCCACCCACCTGCGCGTGGGCTGGGGGGCGGCCGGGGGCTTCCGGCCCGCCCCGGGCGGGGGCGCGGGCTGGGGGGGCAACGGCGCCGGCGACGACCTCAACTCCTTCGCCTTCGACGGCCTCCACCTGTGGACAGGTGAGGAGGGGCACCTGGGACCACCCAGGAGCACCTTGGGAACCCCCGGGACCACCTGGGGCCACCCAGGAGCACCTTGGGAGCCCCCGGGACCACCTGGGACCACCTTGGGAACCCCCGGGACCACC